GATCTCTCTCTTTATCTTTGGCGTGGAAATAATCAAACAGTGCTAAATGAAATTGAAGTTAATAGAACTAAACAACTACCGTTGTAAGGGCAGCTGTAACATGCAAGGCAAAAAAATGATGTCGAACTCTACTCCAGTACTGAACTGAACCATCAAGTGTATCTTGTACACTTGATGACCTGCATAGCTGACCAACCAGCATAATTTTTAAGGGTAAGTGCTTACAATTTTGAAGAGGATGCATAAGCATATTGTTTAGCGTATACACGGTTGAGTCACGCAAAAGTTCAGATCGGAAAGAGCGGCATTTTGCGTCCTGTGACGTTCATTTATTTAAGGCAGCGAACCATCATCTTGTCAAGATGTTCGAGTGGGATGCCGAGCACTAATCCTGACGTAAGTGCACAAGCGACCACGTATAGTGTAAACAGTGAAATGCTCTGCTACTTTTGTCACGCACTCTGCATAATCCTCAACTTGTTCCTGATATGTTTGTTAAAAACTGCGTTTATGACGGATTGGAAATAATCCAAGGATCGAAACAGTTATCAGACATGAGTATAGGCATTTAAAATTATAGAATGCGTCCATGCGCATCAATTATCTTGCGGAGAATTTGTAGTAGAGTAGATTATGTATATTAGATTTGAACTCACACGGTGATTTGAAACACTAAATCATATGAGATGAAAAAGCTGTCATACATTATTTTTATGTCAGTTTCAACGTAAAAGATTATTGCGAACCGCTTCCATGCATCTATTCTAGCGCTATATAAATTTGTAAAGTAATGGATTTGTATGTGTTAATTTGCTTCGTGCGGCGGATTCGCTGATGCGTGTTGTGCGATTTGATAGCGCCCTGATTTTGAAATGAAAGACTATCGGTTTTGCTCATATACCCAGCTATTATAAATTATCCTAAGTTTGGGCAGAACCGTTTTCATGCAGTTTTTTAGTCAGGAGTGCAAGTAAGGAATGACTATGTGTACTGGCTTAATGGCGACAGAATGACTATGGCGACAGGCCACATCAGGCCTACACTTCATCGCCGAGATCACTATGTTAATAGTCCTGAATTCAGGAGAATCGCTATCGCGAACACAATTAATAGGTAAATACTCTAAATTCAATTATCTAATCCAGAATTTTGAAATAAATTTGCTTGATATAAATGTGAAACCTAAATTACGAATTCCCAAATTGTCTCTGCTACGAGTTGAATTATTTTTTGACAATTTCTCTTCTGCCCGCGCTCCACGATTTAGATAACCACTGCCGGGAGAATCAAAACCACGATTTCAGTCCCAGGGAGAGAGTCAGCTGCGTTCATCGAGTGAATATCTCTAGTGTCTATCTCCCTTGATTGCGTAAAGTTAACCGGCAAATAATAATTGATAATTCACGTTTAACTTGATCTTGGACTATACTTTTATATATATACCTCGAGTATATTTAGCGAAGGTCCTGTCCTGCTGTCCACGGGACGACTGAAATAGCCCAGCATTGCCCAATACCAGCATAATTTTCATACTTCACTCCGTGCGCAAGCATTCTGCGCCTGCAGAGCATATTAGCCAACCTGGGCCTATACTTACATGATCAATACACTGAACCATGCTCAGTGTAGTATGCATGATCATTACACTGAACCATGCTCAGTGTTGTGTGCATGATCAATACACTGAACCATGCTCAGTGTTGTGTGCATGATCATTACACTGAACCATGCTCAGTGTTGTGTGCATGATCAATACACTGAACCATGCTCAGTGTTGTGTACATGATCAATACACTGAACCATCCTCAGTGTTGTGTACTGAATTTTAAATGAAAAAGGAAGTTAGAAAAACTATTTTCTCTAAACTAATTCATGTTTTTACGCCACGCCACAAATTCCGTACCAACTTGGCTTTTTCCATGAATTAGATATGAATTAGATATGAATTATAATAAATATCTAATTCAAATTTAATTAACATCTAATTTATATGTAATTCATATCTAATTCATATCTTATTCATATATATTTCATATCTATTTCATATCTATTCCATATCTATAGATATGAATTTCATATGAAATAGATATATGTTCATACACGTAAAAATTACGTTAAATCTATAGATAAAACAAGTAAGATTTATAGAACGATCAGCTTCTGATGTCCAAAGTGCCTAAGAAAATTTTGTTAAATTAGAAACATTTTACATCCATGAAATATTATGAGTTAAATCGACTCGAAAAATGCATTTTCTGTGTCGTCTACTATGGATGTTTACATACATTTTCAATGTGTGTGTGAGTGTAATGTGTGTGTAAAATACGTGGTGCATGCATCTCATACACAGTACTTAGCCAAAAAGGCTGACATATAATATATGGTATATTCACGCACATATTTCTTTGCGTGCACTATGATACGTGACGTACGTGATGCATGCGTCTCATACATACGACGTAGCATGCCTGACGTACAATACGTCACGCCTACAATGGATCCTTTGACCGTCATATCACAGACATAGGCCTACACAAAAGGTCTTCAAGAGGCCTCTTCACTATGCTTAATTTTATGATCTTGCTCCATCGGGCCGGGCATCAAAAATTTGCATATGCGCTGCATATAGGCCTATGCTACTGATTTATTGGTGGGCTCGTAGAATAGCATAGGCCTGCTGGTCGTAGAAAGTGATTCACGACTGTCTGAGGCACTTTCGTTAGCGTGAAATATATAATATATTATTATTCAATAAGATTAATTAGTAGATAAAAAAAGGCTTGTAGCTTTCTTCTGACTCTAAACCGATCGCGAAATCACAAATGGAAAAATGTACTTCTAAAATAATAATTAATAATTAAATGCTTAAGGACATTGTGCCGCACAAAGGCTGCCTGATGATTCACCAGCTTAACCTATCCCTATTAATTGTTCTTTAGTCACTTTACGTTAGGCTGCATTTGGTTTTTAAATTCCGATTCACAAAATTAAAAAATAAAGATTACAACATTTCTACCAAAACTAACAATCAGATCTTAATTAATTCACTTATATAAACGATTTCAGAAGAAATAGTTTTTAAATTACGTTAAATTATATAAATTTTATGGTGATTTTAAAGTTTAATTATGTTGAATAAATTTAAATGTTACGGTGATGGAAGTAAAAAAAATCGTGATAGGCGATAGCTGTAAAATTCTTGATACGAATTGCGAAATGATTTCACAGGTATTCAGTTTACAAGTAATATTATTACAATTAGGATTGGTTAAAAATCTGAACTTATTTTCTAAATCATCGTAATTAAATTCAAATTCTTCTGAATTACTAAGAAAGGTCACAAAAATAATTTAGTAACGAATTTTTAGTCCAGAATTTCCAAATAAAGATGCGGATATTATCAAAAATTAATTGATTTTATTGACCCGTCTAAATTCCTTTACTTATGACAATATCGTTCAATTTTACAACATTCTTACATTAAATTTTGAAACAAGTAATATGTATTTCTATTGTACATAAATATTTTCACAGTTACTATCCGCAGTTCCGTTTTCTAGTGGAAAATGTTTCCCTTGCCGGCACTGCAGTCATCAGTCCCATGCGCTCCGGGAAAGTGCGTTTTCGCCTGTGTTGTTTCTCCTAAATTTATGATGTTAACCAATTGCCATCATAAGTGTTTTTTTTGCTGAATTGTTAAGGTAAAAGCAAATAAGTAATTTTGAAAGATTGTGTCGGGTGATATTGGCCTTCAGAAAACGTAGGCTGGTTGTCCGTTTCAGTGCCAAACCCTTTGAAGTGCGAACCAAGCCAGCCAGCGCACCAAGCCGCCATTTGCCAGGCAAGTCTCTTGCTTAATTCCACTGTTCGTTTCCTCCCAAATCTCTTGATATTTAGTTTTCCCTAACACTTGTTCTTCCCTTTATGTTGCTACGTGTCCTACCTAATGCTGCATCCTCAAAATATTCTTCACACCCAATTCAATGTGTGTTTCCCTCTTAATAAATGCACCTCTTCCGATATTTGTCCCCTTCACATTTACACACGTAATATTTGTCCCCTTCGTCGTCACGGGGGGATGGGGGATGGGGGTGGGAGGCTGCTTTGCATTTTTAACCTCGCAATGGCTATGGACATATAATATAATAAATATAACCTCAAATTTAATGGCTATGGAGTCAGTGATAATGATGCGCCCAACACTTCAAGACCTGATAATCAAAAATTACTTGTGCTTCCGCATAAAAATATATTGGTGGTTATATTGACTTACCTTGCAGACTACTGCAATTTAGCAAACTTGAAGTTTCATTGCAACCACGAGAGCTCACATTTCCTTAATTTTTTCAATTACTATCGGACTTATTGGACGTATTAACAGTTGACGAAGCTTCAACTTTGCTAAACTTTCTCTATTGAGAGTTTTCAAACTAATTTTTTATTCTATCAGCGTTTTATAACATCCCGAGTTTTGTATCTTTCACATTCTCTGCGTATACCAAGTACCATTAACTTTAGCTGATCCGCTATTTTGAAATCGACGATTGTGAATGAATTACTGTATTTTCAAACGAAAGCTCAGCAATTGATGTACAAAATGCAGCATAATGACGATGTTATGGATTTCGAGTTTCCGTCGAGTTTCCTTCAACACGATAATTTTCGGCTTCATCTCCGAGATTTTGGAGCCCAGGCTGAAGCAAAAATGCCTCGTGTGAGAAAAAACGGCAACCGAGCAGTTCGGAATGGCCAGATGTCCCGCTGTGACTTTAGTCAGCAGCGAATGCCTGATTCTAGCGACGATGTTTGCAATTTCTGTCGACGCACCGGTCACGCGAGTCATGAGTGTCGCACTCGGTTAAAACTATGTTTTATTTGTGGCTCTAGTTTGCATTTTCTTCGAAAATGCCCAAGATTCAGACATGCTCGTGTGAAGAAGTCTACCAATAAACCAGCCTCACGTGCAGACGTTTCTCGCAGACGGCCTCCGGCAAGAACTTCACGATGGAGGGAGGCAGCGGCTCTGATGCTGGCATAATCCCTCGCACCGTGGACCATAATTTTACTGAGATGACGAGGCTGGCAGAGCAGGTGACTTTTGGTGCATGTTTTTACCAAAGAGCATCAGCATTGGAACTTTTGGTAAAGTTTCAAGTAGAAACACTCGCCCCCACTGCTTTTGTTCAATTGATTTTCTTTTGAAATGTTACGTTAGGAAAAAAAGTAAATTTCGCCGTTATGTTACCTTAGTAGTATAATTGTCGGCAAACCCTTTACTTTTCTGCTCACTGTAGATCATTTAATACCATTTCATGCTGATATACGAGTATGTGCACGAGGATGAAACAGAAACTCATATCAAGTCGGTTGAGTGCAATTTAATGGTTGCTTTGTGCAGGGCTGGGAGTACAAGATGGAGGTCAGCATTTTGGAGATCTACAACGAAGATCTCCGTGACTTGCTGGCCTCCCCGGCCGATGCCAAAAACCTCTCGTACGAAATCAAGCTCACCGACGGTGGCTCCGCCCACACCCCACGTGACCAACCTCAGGGTGGGTGCCCCATTTTGTTGCATAGAGCCGCGTGGGTAGCCTTCTGGTGAAATGTCAAGCAGAAACTCTCCCACTGCTTATGTTTAGTTACTTTTCTTTCGAAAAGTTTCGTTAGGAGAAAAAGTTAAATTATCCGTTTTGGTCGAAAACATAGGTATAAGGCAATTTCAAGCATTAAATTTATTCATTCAATATTCTAAGATTTCTATACTTAGCCTTAAAACTATCGTGTTGTTCGTTCAAGCTAAAATTAAAACCCCCTAGATTTTAATTATAAATTCCCTGGCACATTCCTGGCGAACACGCGACGTGAGTCCGCGGCATCGCAGAGTCGTGGGGGCGTGTGCCACTGTTTTGTAGGGTGACAAAGCTATACTCTACTTCTTGGCCTAATTATAATGAAGGTGTTGCCCTAACTTAATTTCTTAATCCAAATTTTATCAAATAGATTTATAATTGAGTTTAATAATAGTGGCAGGCGGCCCGGTAGGCGTGCAATCTTCGTTCATTAGATAAATGGGCTGTGCCTGACGCATGAATTTTGATGGGTAATTGAAGATTCCTCAGACACGGATCTCGTTCGGGTTAGAACGGCCATCCGTTTATTCGCTAACTTCTCTGGGTGTGCTTTTGTTAAGCGAAATTGCGGTGCTAGGCAATAATTTAACCCTTTTGACAGATAATGACAATCTTAGTCGGGGAGGAGCAGCTGAAAATCAAGAGGACCGCCGCCGCCAAGCAAACAAGATAATCAGCGGTCTCAGCCGCGTCTCCATGGCCATTGGCCGGAATGTAAGTCAAGAGCTCTTGCTCCATACTCACAAAACGAATTGGTCATAATGTCCAAATAGCGACCAACTGTCTTACCCACAGTTCGTGTAGAGAGCGGACGCGTAGATGTGACCCGTCAGTTTGCCAGGCCAAGCAGGGAGTCCTTATGATACACACGATGGAAATAAGTGCATACATATATGGTTAATGCATTATAATTCACGTCAGTGCATGCATGTATATTGTATATACTTGAATTATCCTGTCGATGTAATGCTATGAATGTCTTAATTCACAGAAAAGACACATGCCTTCTCGCGCAGCCAAGTTCACGCAACTGCTGGAGGCGGCACTCGGCGGCAAGTCGACGACGTTGATGATGGCTGGACGCGTCCGTCTACGAGACGATCAGCATCCTTCAATTTGCGCCTACGGTGATGAACAAGTGCCACATCAACAGCAAGGCAGTTGGCAACGAAGGCTTAATACGCAATGAACAACACTTTTAAATTATGTTCGATCTAAACAGGCAATATCGAAAAGAAAATAACAGGAACGCAAGATGGAAATCTAGGTAGTCGACAAGCGTTTTATTTTCACCATCTATTAAAAGGCCGACTGAGTTATTGCAAGTGCAAGACTTATTTGCATTCTCTGCTAATGTAATTACAGCCAATATATAGCAATATTTATTTCCATTGAAATGATAAATACCATTATATTATTTTTACACATAAGTTCCAGCTAAGATGTGTGGGTGTTTACACAATCGCACATTGCCATCGATTTGAATTAGGAAAGAATTTTTTGTTTCAACCGTTCGCAAATCTTGTCGTCAGAAAATACTAAAGAAATATTATACATTCCTCGTTCAATAAAATCCACTCAGTGAGAGCGGCTCCCATTACCTGGAATCCCTTAGAAACTCCCAATTGCTGGCAAAGTAAAATATAGCTCTTCAATATTCACTACGATTACTATCGAGCGTCCATTTAGTTCGGAGGGGAGCGGAAAGCGGGAAGAGGAAGGATGAATGAGAGTTACTGTTGGGATAGGGGGACGAAAAAATCTTAAAAATCGTTTTAAAATTTTTTCAATTTCTGCTGGGTTTTAAAAACGAAATATCGTTTTAAGAAAATCAAACTTCGGGATCGGGAGAAAGAGCGAATCGAAGAAGATGAGGTATCGAAAAACGTTGTTGAAAAACGTTTGACGAAAAAAATCAGAATTGAGTGGGTGTCAATAAAAAAAACCTGCGGGAAATTCTGCAAGCGTCAAGCCTTATTTTAAAGTATCACTGGCACGAAGCGAGCAAATTTCAATTTTACTAGTCAAAATTTCAAGGGTTGAAATATACATGAAATTAAAGATAATTCCTATGGTCTTTTCTAACTAAGATCAGAATGACTATGAGAGGAAACGCAGGGTCATAGCAGAGTGAGTATCACGGTTGGTCCTCAGACTTAGGAAGATCAATCACATCGATGACAAGCTTAACGTTTCCAAACTCTATGTGTGTGCTCCATGTATGCCGACGACACAATAGTTTATAATTCAGTGAAGAATGTGTCAAATAAAGCGCAATTGCAAGATGATCTTGACAGCTTAGTTAACTGGGCTGATACGTGGCAGCTGCGGTTTAATGCTGACAAGTGTAAAGTCTGTCTCTTATACACATCTAGATGTGTATAAGAGACAGTGGTTGTGGTGGTGGTGGTGGTTGTGGTGGTGGTGGTGGTTGTGGTGGTGGTGGTGGTTGTGGTGGTGGCGGTGGTTGTGGTGGTGGTGGTGGATGTGGTGTTGGTGGTGGTTGTGGTGGTGGTGGTGGTTGTGGTGATCACCAACTGATACTTAACATCTGTCACCTACCTCTTGCGGTTATTGCCGCTAGGTGTTATCACCCAACACTCATTGATCGCGAACGAGTCGCTTCTCTTCGATTTCCGAGTTGTCAGGTGCTAGGTTGCGTTGATCCATTCCAGCTCTTCCGCTACCTCTGCAACTCAGAACATTATCCTTGGTCCCATTGAACTGAATATGTTGTTCGATAATTCTTGGATACTCCTCTCTAGATCCGGTGCTTCAAACTCTCATCTTGTGTTGTCTTTTTAGGCTGGCCAGGTTGCGGCGCTGGCCACGGAGGCCGTCGTGGAGGCCGTCGTCACCACGGCGGATATAAGCACGCAGGTTGCATCCGAAGAAGAGGATAACCTGAGGCAGCAGGTGCAGTAGCTCCAGGTAACCTGAATTATTTACTCTTGAGTGTTTGATGAGGAAAGGTATTTAATAATCGTAGAGGTTGACTAATGACTGTAAACGTAAGTAAATATTTACTTACGATCACATAGGGACTGCAGCGTCATCGAAGCATCGCTTGTTAACAATATTTATTTGCACTGCGCAGCGCACAGTAAGGGAGTGCACAAGCGCGCAGGCGCTGGTGGCAACGCAGCTGGTGGCCTCGATGGCGCAGGTCGCCGAGCGCGATGCTGAGGGTGTCTCCCTGAGGGCGGCTCTAGGGACGCGCAGGCCGAGTGACGGCCTCAGACAAGACCTCATCCATAGAGAGGCTCTGATCGCCGAGCGCGATGCTGAGGTTGTCTCCCTGAGGGCGGCCCTTAGGGACGAAGTATATGCATACGTAAATAATGCAATGACAGCGGTAGCTTAGAAAACAAAGACAAGCATTACACTTACGAGATGTGGCACGTCGATCCTATTCATCAGTTCGATTGGTTGCTAACAATTGACTGTTATATCGAAACAACATCAAGTTTACGCACGTCTGGACAGAAAGAAGATGGAGATTCGGTTACATGATAATGGCAGACAATAAGTTAAACAAAGAAAGGTAAAAAAAACTACTATTGCATTTCACAATAGGCATACCAGGTTTATCAAGATCAAATAAGCACTAACACAAGACACAGTGAAACAAAGACTTGATATGGACAATGAATGAACTGGATTTCTAGGCAATGAATTAGCTACACATCTTATGCTAACGCAGGAGTTCGTCACCACTAAATGAGTCGCCGCATGCTGCACGCTAGCGGGCGGAAGTAGAGCTAGGCGGATGGTTCTGAGAGAAGGCAGAGCGCTGTGAACCCTAAACTCCAATCGTTTAACTCGCGCGACGCGACACTAGCAAATTACGGACCTAGGTAATAAGTCCAGCAGCTATCTCAATCGCAATCGTCAGTTATTTAAAGATCGGGTTCCAAAGGCCGGATCATTTGTGAATCAAGTCACAAAAAATTCAAGAATCGGCAACAGGCCATGGGCCTATTTCCTTCAATGCCGACACTTCTATTCTATTCTAAGCTAGGCTCGCTTATTCGCTCTGTATTTTGGTAACCGAAAGGCAGCTTTGACTAAAATTTTCTACCAGACGACATCCTGATCAAAGGCAGCGTCAGGTAACTTCGCTAGTCAAATTTTTCTCAAACGTCACTTAGCCCTATAACAAATCACATAACCGCTATCAATACGCAACCACAGAAAGTTTAACCCAGCCCGTACACGCAGGACGTTTCAACGTCGACCCAAAGAGTATCGTATCATGACCTTTTTGTTATGAAGAGCATCGCGTCGAGTCTTAAGCTTCACGGCGAAGTCGGTGCTCCAGACGAAGAACAATCTCAAAATTTATACGGTTATCGGCCTCAATAGCTTGCTGAACTGGAAACAAAGAAAAATCAATACATCGATGTAGATATGTGATGACACCAGTCCAAGGGAACTGATAAGGTGACAAAATTTTAAAGATAACTTGATTGAGATTTATGCCGACATAGCATCAAGCATTTTGCTACGATAAATTTTGGATACATTTCGTCAGCAACATCAAAAACTGTGTTGTTATTGTTAGCATTCATTGTCACTGCTTGTGCTGGATTATTACAGCGTGTAAACGAGGGCCCTTAGCGACGCGCAGGCCGAGATTGCCGCTCTCAGACGCTATCTGCTGCAGGGGGAGGCGCAGGTCGCCGAGCGCGATGCTGAGGGTGTCTCCCTGAGGGCGGCCCTTAGCGACGCGCAGGCCGAGATTGTCGCTCTCAGACGCGATCTGTTGCAGGGGGAGGCCTTAAGGAAGAAGCTTCATAATCAAGTGCAGGAGCTTAAGGTACGCGAGTCAAGGCGGCTTGGTTGTGTTTTGTGCATCTGATGTCCTTCTTCATGTGCTGCATCATTTGGTTTATAATTGCTATATATCATTTATTGCACTGTGTAGTTTACATCTATATTAGCTTTGGGAAATCTAAGGCCCTGAATGACTTTGTTTTCTGTTAAATTATTATTGATACAGTTATTCTTATTTTATTATATATATTCAGGTGCAGCTTCCACACACTACCCCACATCTGGTCTTTCAGGCGTTGAAAAACATGAGTTATACATATATTAATAAAGCCTGAGTTATACCTGTGTAACGCGTACACTTCTTGACAGGGCAACATCCGCGTCTTCTGTCGCATCCACCCGCTGCTGAAGCAGAAAATTGCCATGAACGGCGACTGTGAGAACATCCACCACCTGAACGTGCTGTCCGAGACATCCTTGGAGCTGATCAATTGTGATGCAGGTGAGTGATGATGACATCCACCACCTGAACGTGCTGTCCGAGATATCCTTGGAGCTGCTCAAGTGTGATGCAAGGAGCTGTGCCTGTCTTATGTGTGATGCAGGCTATTCAAATGACTTCTTGTTGTCAATGCATGTATATCTTGATAGTCTATATGGCCGTTAAGATATATTCATTTATTTTTGTTGATGCAATATCTGCCGACGTTAACCAGTCACCAGGACATTAGAGCCCAACAGCATTGACGACGGGTGTGATGTACCTTCAGAATGATGTTCATTATTTTGTCTATTGGGGGTAAATATAGTTGCCAGACCAATGGCGACCCACCATTGTATGAGTGCCCTATTTACTCTCTGATTCCTATAAAAGCCGCCTCTCACCCCCCTCAGGAGCCGACAGCAGCTCCATGTCAGGGCTGCGGAGCCGCGCCAGTGGTGCCGTCAAGCTCTCCTACGACCGCGTCTTCGGGCCCAAACACACTCAAGCTAACGTGAGTTAATTACGCTCATTGTGAGCTTTGTATTTATAAAACCTGCTTCTTATTTGGCATGCTCTATCTGTGCTCTATTTTTTAATTGTTGGTCTAGTTAAAAGACATGGATTTATGGCATTTTTCCAAGCTTTGTAAAGAATCGGGACCTTTTTAAAAGGATCTCTAAATTAATGAATTATATCGACATTTGTGCAATTGTCATTATCCTATCTTTGCAAACAAAAGTTCACAATGGTTTTAATCTCTCACTTATGTCTTCTTCTAAGACTTCCACGCTGTAATTATTAGATATGGAAAATATTTCATATAAAATTAGGTTATAAACTGTTTAGCAACACCAGCACTACAGTGGACAATTTAATTGCATCAAACATGGGGTCGAGACAAACTTGGGGTCTGGGGTTCATTTGACCGCTCCTCCTCCAAGTAGAT